CTTGGACTCTACGAAAGCAGGATGAGCATGCTGTCAGCGTCACTCAAGGCGCTTCAGAAAGGACAATGCTCGGAATTTCCCTGTACACGATCCGAGCTCCGTCAACGAACTAAGATCAAAGATGCCGTTGAATACGCCAAGAAATCGAAGATCAGGTGGGCCGGACACGTTATGCGATATAGTGATGAGCGTTGGACCAGGACGGTTACTGAATGGATTCCTCGGGACACCAAACGAGCTCCAGGACGGCCGCCAACGAAATGGTCAGACTTCTACACGAAAGCTCCGAACGAAAGGAATGTTGATCCTCGTGTCCCTGGAGCAATTCATTGGACCACTCTGGCTCGTGACAGGGACGAATGGAGACGTTACTGGCGCCCGCTCGAGGAAGTCGACGGTCAACGGAACGACAGGTGACAGGTGACAGGTGATATGAGTTTGGTTGATTTAATGGTCAGGCAGGGAAGAAGGGTCAGTTCTCCGTTATAAACCAGCGGTAACGGCGCCAGACGCCAATACCACCCCTTTCCTTGACTAGTATGTATGCTCGTAAACTCTCTCAGGGCAAGTCAAGCAGCAATCATCGATGCTTCTTGTCACTGCCACAACTCTTCCCCATTCAATTCTAAGGAAAAACATTCCACTCACCTGCAACAAAGCGATTTTCTGAGGAGCTGTGAATCGAGGCAAGATGTGAGCCAGTTGCCACGCAGGTGAGCTCAGTATCGTCGAAACTTGCCGCAAGAAACGTCTGAAACAGTCAAAACTTTAGATCCTTTTAAACTTGAATAAATCTCTCTTTCTCAACTATTGCATGCAGTGGGAACTATTATCACCTCAGAAATGGTATAAAATATAAAGATAAAGGATAAAGTTTTAACGTTAATCAATCCCGTCTGAGGGATACGCCCTGCATTCCAATTCATTCAGATTCGTAGTGGCGTAATGAATGCGTATGTGGCCTATACAATGACTTGCGGTGGCCGGCCGATGTACAAGTCAGTGCTTTTATCCTCCCAGACGAGTCTGGTACCAATTCGCCGACCCCGGAGGGATGGAAGGCTTGGTTGGCCTAGGCGGGCATCGATCCGGGATTTGAACCCCTCACCGTGCGTGTGATATAGTGCGCCACTTAAAACTACACCACCTACGCCGGTATAAAACATTCAGTGAGCCATCAAATTTGTTCACTAATTCGACATTGCTCAGTAAACACAAAAATGGTCTACATTACCTTATAACAGGAATTCGTGTCAGTAAAACAAGTCCATTCCGAGAGGCAACGGTCGACAACTAAAGTACGAATATTACAATTTTATGACAACAACAAACAGTTAGACAGTAATAATTAAGAGTGCAACCAAGGTTCTCACTTGCGAACATTGTGTAAGGGCCCTTCAGGCAGGTTATGCGGTAGCACCACACATCTAGAGACCTTAGAAGATATGACAATTACAGCATTTCCTATTCAAGGGGTGTTACCAGTTGAGAAAAATTGATAGACAACTGAAATCCTAACTTAGTTCAACTAATTTTTTCTTTCCTGACCGCTTTTTTGGAAAATGTAGTAGTCCTATAATCCCAGACTTTCCTGGGCTATACGTTAGCTACTATGTCAGACTAAATTATGAAGAGTGTAGGGCGGAGTGGTGCAAGTGAGGTGCCATTTGTAGATGAAATAGATAATTCGAACCTGATGGTGCAGGGCACGAAGGCGGTTGAGATGGACATTGTGTACAGGCTGAATACAAAATAAAGTAAGAAGTTTTCTATTAATGATATCTTTACGAACACTATAAGACTGTCCATACCTGATTGTGGTGGGCAGACAGGTGGAGGTGGACAAGGAGTTGGTGGAGTTGAATTAGCCGAAATGGCGCACACGTATGGTATCCTTTCAAAACATGAATTCGCCGACCAAATACCATTATCCAAAGCCGAAATGACGCACTGGTTGATGCCACTTGGTTGACCTAAATGTTGTGGTAATAAGATTTTGAAAAATTAATGTGGAAAGGTGCTCAGGATCCCGCACGCGAAGTGAGTCTTTCTGAGGCAAGGTGAGGGCGGCTTGTGCTGGAGAAGTAAGTTAGAGTGGTGCTATGAAGCACCATTACAAAGCCTAAACCCTTCAGTAGACCTTAACTGATGTAGATGAGCATTTCCGAAAAAAGTCCCGACCTAACAATAAGCATTCGAGTACCTCTATTCCATTCCTATCTGTGAAAATGCCCCACATTGCCTCTATGATAATTACAGCTCTATGCATAAAGTTTCTGAACACAAAATTCATCTTTTGAACGCTCTAGTTTCCCCACTCCGAATAAAAGTGAACTAACCTTTGGCCCAGTTTGTGTAGGTGACTGGAGTGTTATCAGTCCATGTCCAGTTTCCACCAAGATCACTCATACCGATGAAAAATGGATATTGAAAGCGCATCGCTTCTGAAAGAGAATCAGATCGGGTTCCTCATTTTTTGATCAGTCTATCCAAGCAGACTGTGCTTGAACAGACAATTTGAACTAGCGCCCAACAGCCAACAGTCTTCATAGGGAAGACAACTACGGTAATGAATGGTGTAGGAGAATATGATTCGATCACCTCGACCTTTCTGGAAGTTACGTCCCTTTCTTCATAGCTTTATCCCCACCCAACTTCCGAAAAAAGCTGTGAAGGGGTGAGAGCTGAGGTGCTGAGAAAGAACAGTACCCGGTGTTATGGTGTATGAGTGCAGCTTAAACACTAAATCTCCTTAGAGATGTCAGACTACTATCCAGGAAAATCTATTCAGCCTCTTTTTTTCAGATATTATCCCCTCCGTTAATGTTCCGACGTGAATTCGTCCATATTCTGAGTTCACTCCCCAATAACTTGAAGTTGGCACTTCACTATAAATCAGTGAAGAGTATGACAAAAATCTTGTCCTCAACTCGTTTTTTTTAGAAAGGACTCTTCATTGGGTCATAGGGAATATGGCAGCGATAACCCGTCTCCCCTATGAGCATGGAGTTTTCACAGCCGTTTTGAACTGAAACGAGGTGTCCTCCAGGACTTAAACATTCACTTTCGGACAGTTCGAAGGACTGCCTAACGTTTGAGAATTTATAACATCTGCAACAGAACGATATCAGGAGGTTGTCGCTCACGGTATAACTGTGCTCTAGATTTTTGAGTTCGCCCCGACACGTATTCCAAAATACAGGACACGTAGTACTGACTGATCCTATTTTGGCAATGCCAGGAATTATAGTGGTACTTGGTTGTCCATATGGTTGTCCATATACTGATTATTGTAATTTTAGATTCGGTTAATGTACAATACAGTATATCTGTGTTCTCAAGTCTTGATAGTTCTCGAAAACATGGTCTTCAAGGTACCCTTGTGGTCACAATAGCTTTAGGGACCGCAATGAGAACGCAGGCTCTGCTATCGTGGACGAGGCCTGCTAACGGGGATCTCACATGGAGACGGCAATACTGATGGAGTCTGTCTATGCCTGGGCAATAGTAAAGGATATTTGGGGCAAGCCGCAAATACTACGGGAACTGTTAAAAGCAGTAGGGCCAACATCATGGTTTCAGATCGCAGACTGCACCTTATCGTGCCTCTACCAAATTTAAATAGCGTCGCAAAAATTGTTGAGATAGCAACTTTATCAATTACTCGTCACTTTTTCGTCGAAGCTTGAGCTGAGTCACGCAGATAGCAGAACATTGGATGGGAATAATGAGTGTCATGCTTTACCAAAAGAAAATTTGATCAATTTATTCGAATACACTCGCCCTTTAAGCTAACTACACAAATCATCTATATAATTTCGTCTATTGCTGTTTCTTCTGTCCCGGTTGCCAAGCTTGGATCTTCGTACGAGTTGTTGAGTAGGGAATATATTTTTTGTCCCTGAAAAAACCATACAATAACTATAGAAAAGGATCGGAAGGAAGAAAAATAACGAACCACCTTCCTACAGGTTCAGATAATATCGATATAGGCAGTACTAAATTGGAACTTTAAGATGTAGAACTCACTCGAAAATAGACAGGTTCTCTTCGTGCTGCATTACCCACTTTTCATTTTGAGGAGGTTTTTGAGTGGGCGTGTCATCAGTTATGTGATGGAGCCAACGATGCCTAAATTGTCAGTAGAGCAATTTCCACTGAAATGACGAAATGATTTTATTAGAGCTTCGATTTTATGATCGATATTCGATGAGAAGCCCGTGTAGGTTGTTGAGTTACT